ATGCTAATAAGTGGTTTGCAAGTTTATCAAAAAAAAATCATATGCCAATATGAACTTTCAAAAAGGATCTTTTCAGATAATGTTTTTAATTTAAATAACAAAATGATGAGTAAAGTATGTACTCAATTCAAAATCAAATACCATAAATCAATACTTCATCATCCAAAAATGAATGGGATAGTCAAGACGACCAATAAGAAATTTTAAAAAATTGTTAAAAAGATGACAGATGTGTATAAAGATTGGCATGAAAAGCTACCATTTACGTTATATACTTATTGAACTTCAATTTGTACATCCATAAAAGCTACACTATTTTCATTGGTTTATAGGATGAAGGCAATGTTGCTTATTAAGGTTAAAATTTCTTTCTTGCACATTCTCATGAAAGTCGAATTGGAAGAAGCTGAGTGAGTTCACGCTTGAGATGAACAGTTGAATCTCATTAAAGAGAAAAGATTTATTGTACTTTGCCTTGTCAACTGTATCAAGCAAAATGATGCAAGCTCATAACAAGAAAATTTACCCTTAACAATTTTGAAAAGGAGAACTAGTTTTAAAAATGATTCTTTCCAACCAATATGATCATCATGAAAAATGACTCATAATTAGGAAAGCCTATAAGTGGTGAAAAAAGCCTTCTTAGTGGGGCATTGATCTTGGCAAGAATGGATGAGGATGATTTGCCAAATCCAGCCAATGCCGATGTAGTAATGAAATATTAAGCCTAAAAAATGAAAAGAAGTGAAAAAGTAACACAAACCAAAAAGATATCTGAGTTGAAAACCCAAAATGGTGACGTAGATAAAAAAAAACATTGAATGGAGTGAGGTAATTCTCAATATGTGCCAAAAAATCTCATTGATTTTAGGCAAGCTTGGGTTTGTTGCATTTTGGAAAGTCAAAAGCATTAATCAAAGGTTTTCAAAGAAGAATCCCTGATGAATTGGTTCATGATGATTTGAATATTCATTATGTGATTACTTGTTTTTCCTTGTTATAAACTATTGGATAATGCATGAAACATTTCTTTTCCTTTATTGAAAATAAAATACCTCTTTGTTCATCCTTCTCTTTTGTCTTTCTCATTGAAAAAAAAAATGGGTGATGCGTTATACTTGTCATGAAATTTGAAAAATGATGAGCGATAATGACTATAAAAGGCGTATACATTATTCTGAAGGAAATTTAAAATGATAAACAAAATAGTAAGGAACAAGGGTTGATAAGAAAAAAGGCTTATAAGGTTATGAAAACTAATAAACATCAAATGTGAGAAATCATGATCATCAATTAAGAATAACCTCACATAAACTTTACCAGCTAACTGGAATGCATTGGATAAAAAAATGAGAAAAAAAAACATTGAAAAATTACAAAGACTAAAAGGGCATAAAATGGCAAATAAAGAAGATGGTATTTTCATTTGGATCATAGTTGCATTTGCATCATGATCATCACTCATTGCATGACATTGTAAAAATATGAAAATATCATTCATGCATACATGTGGCATAACAAATACATGAGTCTGGGACAATTCAATACCAATAAAAGGAAAAAGTCAAGATCAAAAAAAAATGTAAACCCTCTAGCCAGAGGAACCTTTCAAGTTTCATTACCTATGGTTGAGTAATATTTCAAATCTCATTACCTCTGGTTAGAGGAATCTTTCAAATTCCATTGCCTTCTAGTCAATGAAGTTTTTTAAAAGTTTCATACCCTTTATTTAGATAAGTTATTTAAAGTTTCATATCCTCTAATTAGAGGAGTTTTTAAAGTGCCATTGCCTTTGGTAAGAAGTGTTTTTAGAGTTTCGTTCCCTTTAGTGAAAGGAATTTTTTCAAAAGTTTCATTGTCTCTAGTTAGAAGATCTTTTTAACTTTAAAAGCTTCTAGTTAGAGAACTCTTTCAAAAGTAATCATGATTTGTAAGATAAAAGGGTATAATCTATAAGACCTCTCAGATTGTTAATTTCAAGTTTCATTACCTTTGGTTAAAAAAGTTATTTAAAGTCTCATAGCCTCTAGTTATAAAGTTTTCTTTAAAGTGTCATAGCCTCTAGTTTGAGGAGTTTTTCAAAATTTTATTACCTTTGGTTATAGGAGTTTTTTTAATTTAAAAGCCTTTAGTTAGAGGACTCTTTTAAAATTAAGCATGACTTGTGAGACCAAACGACATAATTTATAAGACCTCATAGATTTTTTATTTCAAATATCATAGCCTCTAATTAGAAAAGGTTTTCAAAGTGCCATAGCCTCTAGTTAAGGAGTTTTTTAAAATGCTTGAGCATGTAGTTAAAGGAGTTTGTAAAGTCTCACTGCCTCTGGTTAAAAAAGTTTTTAAAGATCAGGGTTGATTTATAAGACCTTTAGGACATAATCTATAAGACCTCAAAAATTTAAATTTAAAGTGGTAAAACTTTTAATTAAAAGAGTTTCTTCAAACTTGAAAGTTGTAAATCTCTAATTATAAGAGTTTTTAAAAAAAAATCAAATTATTTTCAATCGATGATGAAAAAAATGTGTGGTGTTTTTGTGTTTTCTTTCTTTCTTTCAAAAAAAATAATAAAATAAAAAATAAAAACAAAAAAAGAAGCAAAGGTGTTCATGTTTGTAAAATCATATTCATCCGAATAAAATTGTTGTCTTTTTGTCTTTACTCTATTCTTAATTCTTAGCAATGTGCAAATAGGAATAGTTGTAAACACCTATTTTATTCGAAAAATCAAATATTGTGTATAAATAAACCTCGAATCGATTTTTTATTCTATCCGAGTATGGTCAAATACCTTAATCAAATGTATCGAGTTAATTTCATATTGGATCATTTTAAATTATTATTATTATTATTATTATTATTATTATTATTATTATTATTATTATTATTATTATTATTATTATTATTGTTATTATTGTTATTATTATACATTTCTTCTAACATCCTTCCATTTTTCTTCCCTTCTTCCTCTATTTTTTCCCTTTTCCCAAAGTTTGTGAAATCTATGCATAAAAAGTCCTTTTACACTGCCTAATTTTTTTAGCACCAAATCTGACAACCAAAGTCACCGGTATCAACCACAAAAGTCTTTTACAATCCCTTAAAACATGAGATTTGAAAGCTTAAAAAGCTTTATAATTGAGCTTGCAATTTACAGAATAGAGAACAAGAAAAACCCATAAAGTGATTCTTAAAAACAATAATCTATAGATCAAAGCCCACTGTTTCCTTTTCAAAATTTCCATTACCAAAAAAAAAAAAAAAAAACACAACACACATCTTCTGGGAATGGGGAACAACAGCACCAAACAAGAAAACCAAAAAAAAAATATTTTGACCAAAACTTCAAAGCTCAATCTACGTAGTTTGAGGCCACTACTCGCATAATTGAGGCTAGATTCGTGTTTAGGGGATCAAAAGGAATCTTTTGTGATTTTTTTGGGAATTTTCTAACCAACTTTGATAGTAGGTGGTGGTGACACCAACAATGGTGGCAGATAATGACAAATAGTTGATGACGATTGGGTTTTTAGAGAAAAAGAGTAGAGAGAAAATGAAATTAAAAAAATTTTACCTTTTACAATTAAAAAAAATGAAACGACACCGTTTTAATAAAGTAGGATCCGCATGCTAACCTAAGATTCATGCACCCGACTGAGTCTCAACCCTAAACAAGTCTAATTGAACCGATGTAAACATGCTGTGAACCGCTCCAAACTGCACTGAACCAATTGGTTTGCTCCGAATCGTTATAAACTAACTAAAAAACACTAAACCGATTAAATCACTTTCAAACTGTTAACGGCTTTAACTAAGGGCATTTTTGTATCTTTTTCATAATTTTTGTATTTTTTTCATTTTTTTCAATATTTTTAATATTTTTATTTTATTTTTTGTGTGAACTTGTTAATAAAAATAGATTAAATTTGAAAAATGATACTATAAAGTTTAAATATCAATTTTTTGGAACAAATTTTTGAAAATATCTAAGAAAAAGTTTAAATATCAATTTTTCTTAAAATATTTTCTTAAATATATATAACCCCTATTTTTCTTTAAAAAAATCTAAGGAAAAAGTTGAAATATCAATTTTTCTTAGAATAAAATTTTGAAAATATTTAGGAAAAGGTTTAAATATTTTTTCTAAATTCTTTAAGAATAAAAACAAAATAAAAATATAAGGAAAAAATTGAAATATCAACTTTTCCTAAATTCTTTAAGAATAAAAACAAAATAAGATAAATAAAAATTTAAAGAAAAAAGTAAAAATATCAATTTTTTCTTAGGATAAAATTTAAAAGTATTTAGAAAAAAGTTGAAATATCAAATTTTCCTAAAATTCAACAAAAATAAAATAAAATAAGATAAAATAAGCAAAATCAAGGGAAAGTTAATATAAAGTTTTCCTTATAATAAACTAAAAAATATAAAATTTTTCAATTTTTCAATGATGGAATTACTAGAAAGTTGCAATAGCAATTTTTACATAAATTCATAAGGAAGATATCATTTTCTAAATGCTACTAAAATATTAGAGTATTTAAAAAATTATCCGATATCAAAAGTTTCAATAAGAAAATAACTAATAAATATTTATTTTCAAATCTAACGACGAAGTCTCTTCAAGAGTATCAATAAATATCTGGAATACTTCTGTGGTGAAGAAATATTCTTGAATTGCTGCTAAAACACTAAAGAAATTTGAGAATAATTTTTAATATTAAATTTTTTTGAAAATATTTTTGAAGAAATTTCCATCAAGCTTAATAGGTAACACAAAATTAAGCAGTATCATCTTCATACGAGCGTTATGAGAATGCTATAATATTTTTCATACGTAACCGTCCTCCAAACTCTGCTATGAATTGTAGACCAAAAGATTTTTTAAATAAATCTTAATTAAATTTAGGATTTGTTTGAAGATGAAATTGATAACCAATCACACCTAAAATTGATAACGATTCCTTATTTTTATCTAACAATCGACTTATAAGAAAAAAATTATTTATGACAGTTACAATCAAATATATCCTAATTGACCACTCTAGCCTGTTACTGAGTTTTGAACAATAAATTTAATTTCTAGACAGCTTGGAGAAAGCTACAGGCATTTTCGTTTATTAAAAAGCACTTTTGAAATTCTTTGATAAATTGAAAAAACAAAAATGCAAGTTCTTTTTAAAGCGCTATTCTACTCTCTGTTGAAGTCTTTTCTAGTTTGATAACTTGTATTAGTTTAGAAGCAATTCTCCCTTTTGTTAACTGCAATTTTTCATAACTTACAAACATTCCTAATTCTACAGATATATGACGAAACCACACTAAACAAAATCGATCCTAAAACCTAACAGTAAATAAGCTTCAAATTTAAAAAAGAAAAAAGGAAAAAGATGAAGATGAAGGTGAAGATTAAGACGAAGAGGAGGAGAATAGTACCTTAGAATGTGAGTTCGGCGAGCCAGCCACGGAAGAAGGCTGATACCAAATTCAAAAATTTAGAAAATTTTAAAACCAAAAGAATGGATTTATATATATTAAAAAATGAAGTCTTAAAAAGAGAGTAAAGATGAAGGAAATAACCTTGAATGCCGGTCCTGATCTTCTGGCCTAAACCTGTAAATAAGGAGGGGTGGAGGTGAAAATGGAAACGCACAGAAATCATAATAGAAACATAAGTAAATATATTGTAACAGAGGAAAGAGAGAATGAATGAAAACTCACTGTTCCTCAAAGGGGGAAACGGACCACGTTGGTTGCTGTCGCAGAAATGATTGACAAGTGTTAAAACGAAATGAGAGAGAGAAGAAGAAGAGGTGCCGGGTGCATCAGAGATTACTGGTGTAAAATTAACGGCTCATAAATTAAAAATTCTCCGAGTCTCAAACGACACGTTGTCTTTTATCTCAACTTTAAATTTTAATTCAAAATCTAATTATTTTTAAATTATTAAAACCTCTTTTCCTATCACCTCCTGCCCTTTCAAGACGGAAGTGCTCGCGCGGTTTTACAATTTCATTTTTATATATAAAAAGATTAGAAGATGACGTTTGAAGCATATTATTATTGATAAAATAAAATAATTATTATTTTATATCATATTTAATTTATATTAAAAAAATAATATTCTTTTAATATAAAATTATTTAACTTTTTTCAAGTTAAGTTATTTTTAATTTATAAAATTTAAGTTTCATATACAATTATATTTTTAAAAATTACATCAATAACTTAAATTATATAAATTTTTAAAAAAATAATTTTGATAAATAAATAAATTATCCTATTTTAATTCTTATATGCATCAAATATAAAATAAAATGATATTATTTAATTTAATCATATTCATAACATTATCTTATCATATCTTATCGTAATATTATATATCAAACATAATAAAAATATTTTTTATATTTTTTATTCATTTTTTACTTTTTAAACATTATATTTTTTTTCTTTTAATATATTTTAAAATTTTTATAGTAATAATGAATACTAGAAAATCTCACTTAACTTACATTTTCTCCAAAATAACTTTTTTACATCACTTTTCACACATTTTTTAATAATCTTTACATCAATTTCTCATAGCACCATTCAAATACATTTTTCTCAATCCAAACTTTTTTTAATAGCAACAATAATATTAAAATAAATCTACATCAGTCAACAAGACAATCATACCAAAAAAGAAAAGAAAATCATTCTATTAAAAGACCCAGTTATAGAATTACAGTCTGCAACATCGAGGCCCTAAGTTTAGAACTAAATTGGGTCCCTGCAAATATGTCTGAGAATAATCAGATGATGCTGGCATCATATCAATATGCTCAAGCCTGCAGCTATAGTGAGAAGGAAATATATCACAGAGATCAGCAATGTACACTCCTGGCCCTTGTGCTGCTAAAATATCATAAAAAGGAAGGAGAACAGCAGAATGTTCTATTGTAACCACTAGAATTTTTTTTAAACAACAAAATTGCAATTGAAACAGTATATTGGGAGCATAAGATAATAATCTCCGGCTATCAAGTAAACATTTAAAATACAGAACCATAATCATATGACATATAAAACTGACTGACATTAGAACTTTGTTCGAGAAATCAGTCTGTAGAAAATTTTCTAATATATATTTTGATATTTCTGACCAATAATCTTCACTAGAATATCTATGAACCAAATCAAGTATTGCATCAAGATTTTTCACAACTGAGGTAACTACATATATTCAATCACTTTAAAACTTCAATTGGGCTAAAATCTAAAAGCACAAAATGTCCCAATAGTAAATGCTTTAAAACCCTAAACCAGCACTCTCCCCAGTCTCAAAGAAAATGGCAAAGGTAGCATAACACATGTAAATAGCAAATAGCGAACAAGACTTAGCAATTGAGAGGAACCTACCTATTACAAAAGGGTAGGACTAAAGCAACTCTTTCAGTCCATGCTGCATGCCACAATATTGAATAAGAATCCAAAATCTTAATATATAACAAACACTCTTCTCATCAAACATCAATCCATACACATCTCTCAAAGCATCACCAACCGGACAAGATTAGGGAAAAGAACCTGTTACTCACAGCATGGATTCTCATCCGCTGTATATGACAAGGGGAAAAGGACATGTTAACCGCAGAAAGGATTTTTTGTCATGCAGAATCCATGAAAAAGAAAAGTAATAGGATAATATTATGCAAGAAAAAATTCTCTTACATAGCACATCACTCTCATGGGCATGAAGGTTTTCGAACTTGGAGTTCATCAAAGGGACTCAGAAGCAGCCATCTATCAAGTTTGAGCAAAAACCTATGCATTTAAAACACCATTTGATCATAGTACGTAAATAGAGATTTTAATTGATCCATATCATCAATAATCAGAATGGACAAAGTTGTTTAAACAGAGAATGACAGAGTTAGAATAGAGCCTCAGAACACTAAAATTAATCTCATAAGGTTCAAAGATAGTAGCATATTCTTGTCTACTCAATCATTTAATATGAGAAGCCTTTGCATATAGAAAGAGTGGATGTGGAGGGAGGTTGAGAGCCATTTATTAATTATCCAGCATAAATGTTCCATTATTGGATATGCACAACTTGAATTCTCTTGTATTGTCCAAAAAATAAAGAACTCTCTTTCTGCAAGTACAAATGCAACCTATCAATTCACATATTAGAACTGGAGGGCATTTTGTAGATTATCTTGATTTATATGCAACAAGATATACAATAACCTATACCAGCATTTTCATAGAAAATCCAAATTTGAAAAGATTATAAAAAGCAAATTCTTACCAACAGCAAGGCTTAAGGGTTCCATTAGGGAATAAACCATGGATGTTTCCCCCTGGTCAACTGCAAGAGGTAACAAACTTAACCCCATTATGGCTTTTGAAGCAAGGTATGGTTGCCTCCAACATTGGCCATGAGATATTCTGAGAAAGCATCAAGACATTCTTCAACATAAATTCCATATATTGCTGAAATAAAGAAATTATAGTATCATACCCAACATCATGAGATGATGTAACATGTATAAAACTGCAAATATATACAATTCCAGCTAGAATCCATAAACCAGCTAGCATCACATCACAATTTACAAGAGCGAAGTTGGTGAACATGGACAAGGTCAAACAGAAATTTAGAGACAAAAACTGTTGAAACTTAAACTTGCTGAGTAACCAGGCTATACATCTTAAAATTTCAGAAACTTGGATACTTGTACAGTGGAATTCATCATACAGTATCCTTCCCAGTAACTAAAATATATATCACCTCTTTGCATTTAAATGCTATTACTCAACAATATTCCTTAGAGGAAGTAGCTTTCTACTCTGCTGAGTTAATATTCATATCCAACTAATAATATACCGCACCTACAAAATTGGCAAAGGAGATAAAAAATGAACAGAATAAAAACTTCAAACATAAAAACATGAGATAAAACAAATAAACCATTTACAAAGATCAAAACTATCCAGTATCTTTACATATCTGCACCATTGGAGTAAAACATAACATTATTGCATAACCAGATAGAAAATTATTTCATTAAATCTAGTAACAACAAAACAAAACCCTATTATCATAATGTCTCAACTTTCTTAGCTCCCTTGAATGTTCATCACTGGAAATATTAAGAGTTAGACGTAGATTAGTCACCTTCTCTTCTTCTTCCCAAGTCAAAGGCCCAGAAGCATACAATGCCTCAAGAGCTTGCTGATAGGCATGTAGCTCGGACCTGTGAAAATCCGTTCCCAATTCCACACTTGTGGAACTAAAACTTCCTTCTTCTCTACATCTCCATTCAGAATACGAGTCAGCATGGTTACTATAATCCTCTAAGTTTTCACAACGGTTGCTACAGAACTCGGAGACATGTTAAGACCATTATTCCCTAAACAGCAGAAGATTCGCAACCCGTGGTATCATCAATTCTATGGAAAGAAGAAGGCATACATCTTTCACCCAGTATATATTTGGGGGAAACAAATGCATCTGCCTTTTCAGAGGCAGGTAAAGGAAGCCGAACTATTATTCTTTTACCACCAATACAACAATTTTCAATCTACCTCTTCTTCTGCCAACCAACATCCGAGAAGCCAAGCGAAGATCTTTTTCTCTTTAACGGTTCAGTGGAATTTGACGAACCCTGTTGTCGAAATTAATGAGCAGGTAACGTATAAAAAATAAATAAAGAAAATTACTATTTAAAAAAAAAAAAAAAAGACAGAGGATTAAAAAATTACCTTTCCAACGAGGAACCAATTGCCAACTTCCCAAGATTGTCGAAAACGCAATCGACATTGATGTGCTTTGTGTTCGCTATTCGATCCAACAACCCTGACAGAAAAGATGTTTACACCGAAAACCTTAACGATCACCGCCGGCTTCCAACACAACCCGTCGAACACCTCTACAACATCGCCAGAAACCCAATCATCGGTCTCGTTTATCGGAGGAGGGCAAGGCCTAATCGCTTTCCTAGGGAATCCCTCCGCCGCCGCCTCGCCAGCAATCGGAAGCCAACCATACTTCACGCTGCACGTGTGAACGTTGCCGTAGATAATCTCGGCACAGCGGAACCCGCCGGTTGGAACGTCCTTCTTGGTCAATACCTCAACTTTGCCACCTTTCTTGAATCTCATAATCAGTAAAAAAACGAGAAAAGAATTGAACTGAATTTGTGAAAGAAATCAAAGAACGGAAAATTTTGGGAAAGAGTGTTGAATTTGGGTTTATACAAGGGCCAGGGACTTCCTAATTGGATTGAAATAGATGATAATGATCGGACGGCAAAGAAGGAAGGATTACAATGATCTGACGGTCAGGATGCTTGGGGGTTAGGTGAGGCCATTAAGGGTTCTGAAAAGGATGAAGAAGTCTCCTTTACGGTTACAAATTAAAATTACAATCAAAATCGTGGGACCCAAAAAGAATAAAAAATTATGATTGGACGTGGTTGTTTTTCTTTTCTTTTGTTTTTCTTTTAAGGAACCCTTTACTTACACCTATCTAAAATAAAAATACGATGAAATGACACAAATTGTTAAATTTAATTTTACTGATCATTATGACATTTTAATCTCATTCTCAAAATTTACATTTAAATAAAATCATCTATACCATACTAATTTAAAGGAATTCTCTAAAGATTTTTATGTGATACCTATCTAATGCTGTTAAATTATTATCATATTCTTATTTATCATTTTGGTTTTTCTATTATGTTATTTTATTTTATTTTATTTTTTGGTTTTTTTTTAATTTAGTTTACTTTTTATTTATTTAAATTAAGATATATTTTGATTAGTTAAAAGTAATAATTTTTAAATTTGAAAAAAATGTATTAAAATTTTGAAAATAAATAAAAGATATTCTAATGATGAAATTTTTAATAATCACAAATGATTGATTTTTTAAGAAAATTCTATATAAGATATTTTTTAAAATTTTACCCAAATTATGAAAAATTTTAGAAAAAAATTTAATAATGATAATTGTCATTAATTTTTGAGCCAAAAATAAAATGTATTAAAATTTTGAAAAAAAATCATTTCAAAGATGATAAAAATTTTGAAAATAAATAAAATATTTCAAAAAATGAAATTCATAGAAATCACGAATGATTATTTTTTAAAAAAATTTTATATGAAAATATTTTTTAAATTTGATCCAAATGATGAAAAATTTTAAATAAAATCTCAATAATGATAATTGATATTTATTTTCAAACAATAATAACATAAAACTGAAAATTTTATAAAAATAATAAATTAAAATTTAGACATTTTAAAAAATAATAATAAATTCAATAATAAAATTCTTAAAAATCACAAATAATTAATTTTGATAAATTTTTAAATAAAAAATATTTCTAAATGTAATCCAGATGATGAATACTCATTAAATAAAATGACAAAATGATTTAATTAACCCTCTCGTAGCTGGAAATGAACACTAATTATAACATAGTTCGGCACATAACCATCCCATTACTCTCAACTATCAAAAAAGAAGCATATTATCTATAATAATTGTAATATAATTAACTAATCATAATTTAAAATTATTTTAAAATTTATCAAAATTTCATATAGGATCCACATTTTTAAGTGATGGACCTCTATATAATTTTTTATTTTAATTGAACAATTGTAATAATGTAATAAAAAAATAATAAAGGTGACATGATTCCATCACAATATGGTGATACAGAAAAAGTTTCAAAAAGATAGAATCAGGATCATTGGTAGTAGCCTGCAAGCTTGCATCGATCACTTCCCCTCCTGGCAAGCGCATCCATACTCCTATTTCTTTCACGAAAAATATGCTTCATCACGGTCTATTAAAAGCTCCTCAACATCGTCTTGCAGTCAGAAACTAAGGTGCTCAAAAAATGATTTGTATGGTCGAAGTTGTTTTTCAAGTTGATCATTGCAGTGGCATCCAGTTCCACTTCAAGTTTTTGAACCCCCACTTCTATAGCAAGCTTAAGACCATCCCTAAGTGCTAATAGCTCTACTTCTACACTAGTGGACTTTGGGATGTGTCGAGATGATCCTGCTACCCGTTGCCCTGTCGTTCTTGTATTTTGTTTACATGTCGTTTTACTCGTTTATTATTAGCTATAAAATTATATATTACTAGAATTAAACTTATGTTTCGGAATTATTTTTATTTTTGAAAATTATATTTTAAATATGAGAAAAGTAAAATTTTTACATCAAATTTAATAGATGACGGTATATAGACAAATATAAATATATTTTTTAATATAAAATGATAATTTAATTTTATTTAAATGTAGTTTTTGTATTAAAATAAGCTATTAAATAATTTTTTTAATATATATATAAATTAAATAAATAAAAAAAAATTTTTTTATATATCTCGAAAAGGTCCGGGCATAACACCCAAACCCAATCCCAACTTAAACCAAATAATTCAAAAAAGCAAAACTTAACTTAATCTTCATTAAAAAAAAAAAGAAAACCTACGTCGATTGGATCATGATAAATCAAAATCTATTAGATATACGTTATTTTGTCATTTCTACATCCAGTTATTTTTCTTTACAAAATTTATTTAATAAATAGAAATTTTAAAAAAAGTCAAATCGGGTGATACATAAAATTATTAAATTATGGTATTAAATAATTTTTTTTAATAAAATACATATATAAATATATAATTAAATAAATAACAAAATATATATTTACATATATTAAGACCGAGAGGTAACATCCAAAACCTTGCTCTGATGTGAACTTGATTTTTTTTAAAAAAAATTCAACATAATAATTTCGAATTAAAAGAAAATGCACTAATTGAATTAAAACAAATCGAAACTTATCGGATATGGTTATTTTTCATCTCATTTCAATTAACTTTTTTATTATAAAATTTATCTAATAAAAATATAAATTTAAAAATTTTAAAAAAAAAAACTCAAAAAAGAAAAAGCTTTAAAAAACAAAGAAAATTTAAAAAAATAAGGGAAGTGCCAAATGAACACCCGAGACGAGACAAAACATCTTAAATCCATCTCCAACCGAACCTCATTTAAAAAAATAAAATTTTTGATTTGATCTCAATTTAGAAAAAAGGCATTTATCTTTGATTGATGCAAATCAATATCAATAGAATATAAATTACTTTATCATCTTACTTTTATTAACATTTTTTTGACAAAATTTATTTAATAAAAAATAAAATGAAAAAGTGCATAAAAAATTTAAAATATAAAAATATAAAGTAACAAAATATAAAACAAAAACCAAAAAAAGTAAAAAATGGAAGAGGAGACACTTTATTCCAATCTCTACAACTTTAATATTATACTTCTGATATGTAACACCTTAATCATACATCGGTATATTTTGAGAATCTACTATGATATATATGTAGATAAGTCTTTTGTAGGATAAAATTGTGATATTTTTAGGTCAAAGTGGATAATATTTCACAAGTTGAATGTGGGTCTTCACAAATAATATTAGAGCAATCACCAGTCTGACGAGAGCTAAATGTTACACTGTGAGAGCCACTTTTAGAATTTCAATATCTTGTGTGATCCTGTGATTTGTGTGTACTTTGTATTGGGTTTGTCCAATGATTAATATGATTTGGTAGATATGTGTGGTTTGTATTAAGCGTAACAGGAACATCAAGCATTAACGGAGGAAGTTTGTAACACCTTAATTTCATATCAAGATATTCTAAGTTTCTGTTATAATATATAAGTTGAGACTTAAAACCCAAAATCTATTAGGTGCATTTTATGGGACAAAACTGTAAGACTTTCAAATTAAAGTGGACAATACCTTGTAACTTGGGTGCGGGTCTCCATAAATGGTTTGTAACACCCCAACTCATATCGAGAGACTTTGAAGATTTGTTATGATATATAAGCTGAGACTTAAATTTAAATTTTTAAGACACTTTTTGTGGAATAAAATCATGGACCTTTAAGTCAAAGTAGACAATAACTCATAAGTTGAATATGAGTCTCCAAAAATGGTAATGATTATTAAGAAATAGATTTGTCCATAGTTGAGTTAGTGGGCAAGTTCGACTCAACTTATGTTAGTTTTTCATTTATAAAGATTCGTACTCAATCTGAGAGGTATTATATGTTTTGACTTAAAGATATTACAATTTAAACCATAAAAGGAGTCTCATAGATTTTAGGTTTTAAGTTTTAACTTATATATATATATATATATATATATATATATATCAAGTAGATCCTTTAAATATCCCGATGTGAGATTGGGGTGTTACATGATTTGCCCACACTATGCTACCAATTTGACTAGACAATTCGTGTTTTCATGTTGTATTTCATGTCATGTTTGACACATATAATGACATGAATTATTAAAACACGAATACGACAAGAATTATAAAACGTGTTTAAATTATAAATACGAACACAACACATTTAATATACGTGTTACACGTGATACAACACGATTAATACAAATAATAAATTTGATTAAAAGTGACACGAATAATACGGATATACATGAATAGATACGATTAACACAAATATATATAAGAATATGAATAAAATAATCAATAACTATAAACTATTCATTATTTAAAATTTAATAAATTTGACATATTAATAATAAACAAAAGTACTTACATATTAAAAAAATTAAAAATTTAATACTCATTTAATATGTATATAATATATATATTTATATTTATATTTATATTATATAACTATATTAATTTTTAGTATCAAATTCAAAATAATAAACTATTAAAGATTAAAAAACAAAATACTAATGTATAGGACTAATATTAATATTTATATTGTATTTATATTATTAATATAAAAAAATAATTTTATAATATTATTAAATGAGTATCATAATTAAATGTTTAAAATAATTTTTATATGATATTAAATAACTAATTAAGTATTATAATTAAAAAATTAAAAATTAAAATAATCTTTATATGTTTGTATTAAATTAAAATAAATATAAAAAAATATGTTAAACATGTATTTATATGACAATATTAAATTAAACATATTATTCGTATTGTATTATGTGTTTAGATGAGTCAATATATATATGATATAAATTATGTCATATCGTAATTCGTGTTAAAACAAATAAACACAAAATACATTTTATTAAAACACATAATTTTTTTATATTATTTTCATATCATATTACCATATTATGTTTAAAATTACCGATCTCCTACCGATACTTCATTAATGCTTTCCACGTTAGCACCTTTTTGCATGCAACGTCCAACTCAGGCCCTTAAAAACTAGCAATTTCTTCCGTTTCCCAGTTTGCATTCTAACCGAGAACACCAACTTGGTTATTACCATTTAATGTGGTCCCATCATCTT